AGACACGAGCTACTTCAATGCATTTTGCAAAGTAGAACTGAAGAAAAAAGGACCCAGGCGAAGCATGTCCTGGCTTGCTAACCTGAGAGCATGATACAAAAATTACTTCAACATAACTATTTCGTATAGCAACCAACAAAGTCATCACAGCCAGAATGATCGCCAAGGTTCGAAACAGACAGGCACCCTAAGAAGAATAGGAGGTGACATCAAAGAAAAACTGTCAATTTGCCTATATAGAAGTAGTAGTAGATAAAGAAGAAGAAGACGAAGAAAAAGAAGAAGAAGATGATGATGATGATGATGGTGGATCGATCATATTACGAACGAAATGGTGTTGCATAAAATGGGTAGAGATAGAGAATTTTTGACCACCATTAAAAAGAGAAAGACAGCATATTTGGGGCACATACTAAGAAATGATAAATACGAATTCTTGCAGCTGGTTATGAGGGTAAAATCGAAGGAAAAAGGGATTCCAGTAGACGACTAATATCCTGGCTAAAAACATTCGCGACTGGACTGGGTTAAACATACACGTCCTCTTAAGAAAAGCAGAAAATGGAGACGAATTTGCAATGGTTAAAGCCACCAACTTTAATTAGTAGAGACGGCACTAGAAGAAGAAAAAACCTGTTTAAATTATTATTATTTAATCCTTTTTTATATGGCATTATGATCCTATTTTATTGAAAAATAAAATAAACAGAATAATACAGACTCTTGATTACTAAATATGGTCTACCAATGGACTCTAGTCAATGATTTAATCATTTATCACTACAAATCTTTTATTTATTTATTTTGCAATGAATTTTTAATTACAAAAAATATAGCTTTACATTTTTCTTTTTTCTAACTTCGTGTTAAGTATATATCCTTTTTTAATAGATGTGAATATTGTATGTGTATATTAAACTACATCATAAAGAAATTATTGCTTTATTACTTTAGTCCAGATGATTCTTCTACAAGCGACTCAATTATTTTGTCACAAATGCAGTTGTAGATAAGATTTGATATTACGATAAAACCAGTATTCCAGAAAATATATAACTTCTATTATTCTGCTGACATACTTCATTAAAAACTTCCTCTTTTATTTTCCTTCATTTTAATAATAATGCTTGCGTGTTGTTTAATGGTAATGTATTTCTACTTCGTCGTACGGAAGTAATTGTAATCAAGCACGACTTACCATACAACTCTAATTCGGTTTTAACCAACAAACACATAAACTTAACGGGGAATGCTATAACTCTTTACAAGGTTACTGGGTAGCATTTGGTGCAGAATGTTTACACATCATTGTAAATTGCGTTGTGGCGATTTCATCAAACCGCAAATCAATAATTTAACCTTGTCTAATCTAAGTGCATTATAAAATACATTCATAGAATGTGAAAGCAATCCTATATCTGATTTACAAAAATCAAAACAAACTTGCAATATTTAAGCATTGTGAATTTTCTTAATGTAATTTTTTCTGACGTATTTATGTTTAAAACGATAAAAATTCGAAAGTTACAATATTTTTGTCATGCAATGAGACATCCAAAGAGGTATAACCTTCTACAGTTCATATTACGGGGTAAGATCGCCGAAAGGAGAGGTCCAGGTCGAAGAAGAACATCCTGCCTTCGAAATCTTCGAGAATGGTATCAAGAGACCACCGCTAATTTATTTAGAGCCGCCGTAAACAAAGTTATTATTGTCAATATGATAGCCAACGTTCAATAATCGGACAGGGTACTGAAAGAAGAAGAAGATTTGTGTTTAAGAATATACTATTAATATTGTTTACTACATCTTAAATAATATTTGTCAAAATAAAAAATTGTTTTTCTTTAACTCGGTAATGGTTGCAGAAGGAAACAATAACTAGGCCCTCTACCTTCTTAAATATTATGGCACTAAAGAAAACAGAGTTGAAACAATCTTACACAGGTTTGGAATGTTCTAAAAGATAAATATGAGATAAATGATGACAAATCCCTTTAGGCGTACAGTTGATTTTGCTTCGTTTTTTAACAATTTCAAAAGTGGAAAAAATATTTTTTCCGCCTATAAAACGTTTCATAACCCTCCATCACTCGCACCTTTAGAAAAAATCTAACATTTTTAAATATATTGCAACAATTTTTGAAATATTGCTTCTTTTGGGTTCTGCAACCAGGAATACTCTTATGAAGACTCTTATATAAGACTATGTTAAATAATAGTATCTATTTTCTTATAGCCGATAGCAGTTGTTGTTTAAATTTAACACGCGAGCGATCGCTTTCATCGGGGAGTTATGTTGATTTTTAGAGAGATCACCATCATTTTAGAGAGAAAAGTTACCATAAAAGGTAAGCTTTTTAGTGGAATATCTATAGATTGTCGAACATGCGTACTTATAAGCGCTATTTTTGTTTATTGCAGGTAAATATGGAGATAAGAAAACAGAAAACCAGTTACTTAAATGGTATGAAGAGATAGACAGCGATGTGGAACCACTAGGTTTTGATAAGGACTTAAGTGATGTTCATTCTGAATACAGTATCTACAATACAGATTCTGAGCAGCCCACAAAAGATCTACCCAGTGATCCTGAAAGTGCCATGGAAGAAAGCGGCCAAGATGATGGTTATCCAAGATTTTATGGCATAGATAAAACATCATGGTTGAAACATAAAAAACACACTCCCAAAGGTAAGACCAATGCTTGTAATATTGTTACGAATTTTCCTGGGGTAGAAGCAAAAGCAGAAGGCACCAAAACCATATTAGAATGAGAACATTGTTTTTCTAGGATGCTATGATCAATAATATTGTAAAATATACATATCAAAAACTGGATGTGATGAGAGTGTTTTATACTCGCAAAACGGATTGTTCTACTGTTGACCACGAGAAAAAAACAAGCATTTATCGGACTTTTGTTCCTTGCTGGGGTAAAGAGAGTGCAACATTTAAATACTGATGACCTCTGGAAATTAGATGGCACAGCTACAGAGATTCTTGCAGCTACTATGTCCAAAAAAATATTTCACCAAATAATTCAAACTGTAAGAATTGACGACGCCACTAAGAGGCAAGAAAATTCGGCAGTTGATAATATTGCACCCATTCGAGAAATATATAAAATGTTTGTCACTAACTGTTTATCTGTATACACTCTTGGATTCTATGTGATCATATATGGAATGGTGGAAGTGTTCCGTAGTCGATGCAAATTTGGTCAGTATATAGCTAATAAGCCAGCGAAATACGGAATCAATATTTATGCCTTGGTGGACGCTAGAGCATGTTTCACACAAAATCTTCAAATTTACCCCGAAAAATAACCTGAAGGACCATATCAACTACCGAACAATGCATCTAGTGTAGTAAAAAGACTTATACGACCCATAAGTGGAACCGGTCAAAAAGTAACTACGTATAATTACTTTTTCTCTGTACCCTTAGACTACTCTTTATTAAACGATATTGCTTAATTGAAGACTGCTTGACAACGATAGATACTTTGCGTAAATACAAACAACAAATTTCCCCTGAGTTGACAAACGTAAAAGAAAGACCTTTATGTAGTTGCATGTTTGCATATGGTGGCGATGAAAACAAGTGTGTACTTGTATGATATGTGCCAAAAAGGAAATAAAAATGTACTACTACTTTTAACACTACACAGCGATGGTTTCATTAATGAAAACACCATAGAGTATACCATGAAGCAAGAGATTATTACTGATTACAAGCTCACAAAAGGCGGAGTGGATGTTGTTGATAAAATGAAGGCCGAATACTCGACGACTCGATTTAGCAATCGCTTACCGTTTACTGTTTTTGGCAGCTTACTAAATATTTCAACTATGACCAGCCAAAAAATTTACAACAATAACACTAATATTGTAACATCTTGAAGAAGCTACATTCCGGAGCTTGACAAGCAACTTTTAATGTCCATCTTCAACGACGTTGCAATATCCCAAATCTGCCTTTTCAGTTGAGACTCAGGATCCGACACATAACCGGAGAAAAGTCATTAGTTTCTCAATGCGCGACTTCAACTATAAAACCAAGATGTTGTTTTTGTCCTGTAAGGAAGCACAGGCTTACCCAAAAGTATTGTACTAACTGTAAGTCACCAGTATTGCCATCACTACCTAGAAGAGGAAGAAATCTAATTTTATGCGTAATGCGTACATTTTTTTGGAAAAAAACCCCTTATTTGTTTTATTCTAGACTAATGTGTATATTGGTTAAGTTTACCTGTAGTTTCTTTTTGCTGTTTTGTTTTAAAAAAATATAAGTTTATTGTTTTTTGTGAGTTAATAATCAGTAAACTTAAACAATAAGTACTAATGACTCATTCCTTTGACCTATACCCATAGGTTAGATAAAATCCAAGACGAGAGTAATGGCATAATTTTTTGAGGTGCGAGTGATAAAGGGTTAAACATTCTGGAGAAAAATGGCCCAAATAAAATAGATTTAAAAAAGCTTTTTAATTTGTGAATGAAACCTTTAAACAGTGTGTTTTGTCAGTGTTAACTTAGATCACGTTAACTTAAGATAAGGAGTGACTGATGCTGTAGAGAGAATAGCAACACTGAAGTGGAACTGGGCAGGTCAAGTGGCTCGAATGACAAATAATAGATGGAAAAAGTATATACTAAACTAAAAACCAAGAGACGATGTCTATCCAAGCAAAGGTTGTCAATTTAAACGTTGGACTGACGATCTAAAATGTTGTCATGAGAACTGTATGCAAGAGGCACAAGATTGAAAAAGATTAAAAACTATAAGGGAGATCTGTCTTCAGCAGTGGACAAGTGAAGATGGATGGATGCATATAATATAATTGTCGTTTAATCTAACGGTTTTGACACCTAAATTGGTAGTCAGTTTCAACTACTCTCAATATGGTTGATTAATGATGATCCGAGTCGGATCATGTACTGCAAATGCAGTGTAGAAAATAAGTATCTAAAAAATAGACAATAGTATTATTTTACCTTCTAGTCCTACAAAAGCCTTCGGATCAATTGTGTCGATATTGTTTCCATCCAATTCAAGGGAATTCAACATCGTCAGGTGCGAGAAAACCTTTGCCGGAACCTTCTTTAATTTGTTGTGGGCTAATCCTAATGAATCTAAATTCTTAAGACCTAAAAAAACTCATAGTTTAACATTTTAATAAAATATTTGTACAAATTATTAGAATTAAACAAAGTCAAATAACAAGTGCATTGATGTTTAAATATAATTACTCTCCATTCGTCATTTATATTTGAGGAGCACACTTTCAAATCGCACTTTGTCCATATTCTCATATTCTGACTTTGATTCTCAAAATAGTATTTACTAACTAACATGCTCCTAGAGATTTTAAACGTAATATTTCACGGAGTTTAGTGGAACAAGCCCACTTAGCAGACCACCGCTACCAAAAATAAACTCTTCCAAGAAACTAGGAGCGCTGTTACAAATTGTGAATATTGAAGTCCTACCCAATTATATCACAGAAGCCCACACATTGGAATATTTGCATATGCTGATTTATTGTGCAGCAACAGCAATTGCTAATGCTATGGGCATTAAGATCAGAACACGACAGAGTACCAACATCGAAGCACTGGTAACAGAATAGCACCCTGGAAAAAACGACTGCTGAAGAAGATCGAATTACTGCGTAGGGACATTGGACAAATAACAGAGTACATAAGAGAAGTAAGAAGTAGAAAAATCATCAAAAGAGCTGAAGAATTATTGTTTAACACTCTAAGACACTCACGATATGATCCAGAAAACAACACACCTCAACAATGCCTGGACACATTAAAATAAAAACTATCTGTTTACACAGGCCGCCTCAGGAGATACAAAGTTAGTAACAACCGGAAATGCGACAATATACTTTTTGAGCAAGCAGAGAAAACTTTCTATACGAAACTTAATTTCACTGTCGAAAACGCAAATAAATTCTACCCAAGCCCAGAAAAAATTCATGAGTTTTGGGGAAACCAACTTTCGATGCCAGCTACCCATAACAACAATGCTGGATGGATTGAAGGCACCACGAACAAATGTCAACACTACAGGAATATTCCTTATGAACCTTTCACCACTGAAGAAGTCTCGAACATTATCAAAGAACTGGAAATCTCCTGGACCGGACGGAGTTCTAAACCCAAGATCCAGCCAAGTACCGCTAATTACTTGTCATCCAACTTTGTACAAATTGGTTAAATCCTGTGTGGCCTGGCGTATCTACCAACACTGTGCTCTGAACAATATCAGAGAGCCCCAACAGAAAAGATGCACTAAGGGCTCCATGGGATGCAAAGAACAACTTATTATCGACTCAAAGAAACCTTTTGACTGCCTTCATTTGGTTCAGTGCCGCATGAATGGCTTATAGATAAATTGAAAATATATAAAGTCGATAATAATCTCGTGACCTTTTTGAAGCATATAATGACAGAGTGGAAGACTAAAATTCACCTTCAAATACCTGGTGAAATTGATATCGAAACTGAAGATATCCCTATTAACCGGGGCCTTTTCCAGGGGGACTCGTTGAGTCCACTTTGGTTCTGCCTAGCGATGAACCCACTATCTTAGCTGCTGAACTCTACTGACTCAGGATTTAGCATCAAAAATAACAACACTTTTGTAGCGAAGCTTAATCATATGTTGTATATGGATGATTTAAAATTAATGGCTTAAACTTGAAACCACTTGGATGAGATGCTAAAAAGTGTAGAAAATTTCTCAAATGATATCAGTATGCATTTTGGACTAGACAAGTGCCGTATACTAAATATAGTCAGAGGAAAGGTTCAGCCCGGAGGTTTCGATATGCAAGATGGCAAAAACATCGAGGTAATGGGTGAAAATGATATGTACAAATATCTCGGAGTAAAACAAGCGCGGAAAATTGACCATAAACAAATGAAAACGGATCTAACTTCGGAGTTCGTGCGAAGAGTAAGACAACTAAATCGGCCATATCTTAATAGTAAAAATTTGTTTAAGGCATTAAATACGTACGCCTGTTCCGCGCCGAGCTACTCATTTGGTATTATAAAGTGGTCAAAAACGGATATAGAGGGTCTTCATCGGAAAGTAAGAACACTTCTCACAAAGGCGCAAAAACATCATCCACGTAGTGCAGTAGAGAGAACAACATTACCGCGGTATTAAGGGGGAAGAGGACTTATGGATATAGGTGAGCAATTAGATAAACAAATTGCTAATTTAAGGTCTTATTTTCAGGTACAGGCTGAGACATCTACTTTACATCGAGCAATTTGCGCAGTAGATGATACGACGCCGCTTAAACTGAGGGAACAAGAAATATGCATAAACCACCTGACTCAGCAAGAAAAAATGCGCACCTGGATGAGTAAACCTCTGCATGGGCGACATCTCAATGAGATCAACCAAGAATATGTCGACAATACAGCGTCGAACTATTGGCTGACATCAGGAAAGATGTTTCCCGAGACTGAGGGTTTCCTACTTGCCATTCAGGATCAGGTTATTCCAACTAAAAATTACCTGAAATATATTGTTAAAGATCCTCAAGTACAAAATGACAAATGCCGATATGGATGCCAAGCCCAAGAATCCATTCAACATCTTACCGGTGACTGCCAGGCATTTGTCGGTACTGATTATAAAAAACGCCATGACTCAGTAGGAAAGATTATCCACCAAGAACTAGTTGACAAAATTGGACTTCTCCAAACCGACCATCTTCCTTATTATCAATACGCCCCTGATAGAATGCTTGAAAATAACAACTACAAGCTATACTAGGACCGCACTGTGCTTACTGACCAACCAGTGGCCCATAATAGACCGGATCTCATACTATTTAATAAACTTACTAGACAAACCAAACACTTATTCATGTGGCGATACCCAACACCAATAATTTAGGTGTTAAATACAACGAAAAGATCGCCAAGTACAGAGATCTAGAAATACAAATCGGAGACAATGGAGAATGGAAAGTACCCAGACACTACCTATTGTTCTATCTACTACTAATGTTATTCCCAAAAACCTCCTAGCGAACATAAAACAGCTGGGTCTAAATGAACATCTTTATAAAGCCATGCAGAAAGCTGTACTCTGTAAATCTGGATAATAACAGAAAATCTTCAGCGAAAAGTACGACAGTATACAGTATATTTTAGATTTAGTAAGGTTTTGTTGCATTTATACATTTACCTTAGAGGTTAAAAAAAATCTCTTTTTTTAAAAACTTACCTTCAAAATCTCCTTCTTTGATTTCACTAATTCTGTTCTCCTGCATTTCCAATTTCTTAAGCATATCCAGTATTGCCAGGGATGGTTGTGGTACTTTCGTTAAACCATTTGCCCCCAAATTCAATCGTTTTAGTTTTCTAAAAAAAAAAAACAAATATTAAAGAATACACACATAATTACATTTTATTACAATCGTCATCGTGGTATGGTAACGTAAACAAAAATAAAAATATTGTTTATCAGAAATCGATAAATTTATTCAACTTTTTATATAAATATAGACACATTATTTAATTTCAATGCGGTATGAAGTTCGCCTGATCAACTAGTAATATTTACATTTTTTTATTCTACCGGTATTCTATACCTTCGGACACCAGTGTGTTTCAAGGACTCTCCTGCCGAGACTAGTTGAGCGATCTATATTGATGAAATTATTACTTTCGTGGAAACTCGGCTTGCCTCTAAAAACATGTATTGGTCATACTAGTGACGCTCTGTAATAGTAACATATCATACCACATTTAAGATAGACATAGTTACAACAGCTTACCAAGACCATTACCCTTTAACTCTGACGTCATTCACTAGGCAGAAATCACATTATGTCATTACGTTGGAGATATCACAATTATTTGGTACTAAGACATTTAAATTGTCATGTCATGTCATGTCTGAGGAAGCTCAGTAGATCTGTTATAGTAAAAATTACTAAAAAAAGTTATTAACAAAAATTGTAGGCAGCTTTAAACTCCACATTTTAAAATTAGTTACAATCTTACAGGGTGTTCCATAAGACGGTGGCAGTCCAAACTTATGTTTTTTTTTAAATGGAACACCCTGTATTTTATTTTAAATTTAAAATCGGCTTCACTTACATCACAACAATGTAAAGTTTTATTATGTTATACCGGGTATCTAAAAAGTTATAACCAATATTACCTGAAAATCGTATCAAGTTTAACTCCCTGTGCAATTAAAAAGGAGTATAGGAACATTGATCTATTGCAACCATAGTTTTTTAAATAATTGTTAAAAATTATAAAACATATTCGTTTCCATAATATTCGTTAAATCAAATACAGGGTAAGTTTTTTCTGTGGCAAAAAGATTCTTTGTCTAATGCCATCTCTCTCTCTCTCTCTCTCACACACACAGGGTAAGTTAAAATGCAAATACATTATTTTCTTGGTAATTTTAAATAGAACACCCTGTATTTTATATCACCATCAAAAAGTAATAATATCGTACTTCAAATTTTATAAAGTACTCCCTATACCTAAAGTTATCAGTTTTCTAGATATTATTGTTTTTATATCAAAGTATTAATTTGGTAGATATTTTAACGTTTACCAACTCACAATATAATTATTGTGAGTTGGTTATGATTGATTTGTCAAAAACTGACAGTTTGACATTATTGTTTAATAATTTAGTAACAAAATAACGACACAGAAAAGAAAACAATTTATTTAAAATAAAATTTATAAAAAATAACCGACGGAAAATAAAAAAAAAAATATAACAACACATAGAAAAATTAAAAACAACAGTAAGTTTAACTTATCTTACTTAGGTAAGGTGTTCAAAATGACCTCCCAAAACATCTATGCATGCTTGACAACGGTCATTGAAAGAGTTGGTTACATTACTAAGCATTTGTAAAGAAATATTTTGAAATGCAATTCGGATTCTATTTTTCATATCATCCCTTGTTGTTGGGGGTATTTTATATACTTCGTTCTTAACGTAACCTAAAAAAAATGAGTCCATTTTATTGAATTCTGGTGACCTTGGGGGCCACCTTACCGGTCCATCCCTTCCGATCCATCTTTCCCCAAACTGATTATTAAGCTCACTACGTATTAATTCGTTGTGGTGCGCAGGAGCACCGTCATGTAGAAACCACATTTTTTCACGTATATTCAGTGGAACCTCTTCTAATAATATCGGTAACTGATTTACGATAAAATCTAAATAAATCTCACCATTTAAATTATCTTTAAAAAAATATGGTTCTACTACATGGTTACCGACGATACCTCCCCACACATTTAGAGACCATCTTGTTTGACTATGTGTTACTATGTGGTATGGATTACTTGTTGAGTATTAGTGAAAGTTATGCCTATTAAAAGAACCGTTTCGATAGAATGTAGCTTCATCACCAAATAGGACATAATCAAAAAAATCTCTCTGCTCATTAGTTTTTTCTAAGGCCCATTCACAAAATACTATTCGTTTCTGAAAATCATTATTAATTAATTCTTGGTGCTTTTGAATATGATAAGGGTGCATCTTGTTTTTAGATAGAATGTTTTGAACAGAGTAGTAACTAAGTTCTTGTTCATTGGAAATAGTCCTTATGCTTGTGTGTGGGTTTTCTGTAACCGCCATCAACACACTCATTTCGTTTTCCTCTGTCACACTAGTTTTTGTTCGTTCATGTTTCTCATAATTCACTGAACCAGTGCGGTTAAATCGATCTTTCAATTTTTCAAATGTATCTTGTCTAGGTTGTCGCCTATCTGGAAACCGTTCTTGATAAATTCTAGCTGATAGTAATGAATTTTTATTGCATTCCCCCAATATCCAGATCATCTCTACCATTTCATCAGTAGTAAAATTCATTATTGCTAATTTAAAATGAATCAATTACTGAATTACTAAATAATAATTGTTGCTAATTTACGGTGTACCCCAATACTGAAATAATAAATATTAATGTCAAACTGTCAGTTTCTGACAAATCAATCATGGCCAACTCACAATAATTATTGGTAAACGTTAAAATATCTACCAAATTAATACTTTGATAGAAAAATAAAAATATCTTTAAAACTAATAACTTTAGGTATAGGGAGTACTTCATAAAATATGAAGTACGATATTAGTTATTTTCGATAGTGATATAAAATACAGGGTGTTCTATTTAAAATTACCAAGAAAATAATGTACTTGCATTTTGACTTACTTACTCTGTATTTGATTTAACGAATATTATGAAAATGAATATGTTTTATAGTTTTTAACAATTATTAAAAAACTATGGTTGCAATAGATCAGTGTTCCTACAATCCTTTTTAATTATACAGGGAGTTAAACTTGATACGATTTTCAAGTAATATTGGTTATAACTTTTTAAATACCCGGTATAACATAATAAAACTTTACATTGTTGTAATGTGGAAGTGAAGCAGATTTCAAATTTAAAATAAAATACAGGGTGTTTCATTTAAAAAAAACATAAGTTTGGTCTGCCACCATCTTATGGAACACCCTGTAGGATTGTAACTAATTTTAAAATATGGAGTTTAAAGCTGCCTACAATTTTTGTTAATAACTTTTTTTTGTAGTTTTTACTATAACAGATCTACTGAGCTTCCTCACACTAATCAATCACCCTGTATATTTAGAGCTCATCTTTAAAGTAAATATTTTTTGTTAATTTTAATTACTTCCGATATTTACAGCGTTTTGTTTTAAACTAAATTTCTAGTTGCAGTTAAACTTGGATTGTTTTATTTTATTGACGCGTATATAAATTTTCCTTGTTATTAGTTTTCCTGAGTAAAGCTTTTGTAATCATAAAATGCCTAAATAAATATCTACCAATCAATTAATTGTCAGAAATAATGTAATATGTCAGGCACAAAGGCAAGTTTATTTTATTAGTAAAGAAACATCAACTTCTATTTTTATCGAAATTGAAAACCCGACTTTTTAAATTAAATGATAAAAGCTTGGAATAGGATTATATTGTTTTTTTTACTGCTGCATTAAGATATTAACTTGTCATACTCTAATAAAAAAGTTATTAATAAACTCTGTTATTCCAAAAAATTTCTGAAGTAAATAATAGGCCTATTAAAAACAAAACTAATTGAAACTAAAATTCAAGTATTTGTATACTGCGCTTTTTACAATATATACAGCAGACAGATTCAAACTTGGAAGCGTTATTACGTAAATAAGTCCATGGATCTGTAAATCCAAAAGAAATAACAGGCTGAACTGAAAGCCAGCGAGAAGCAGTAAAAAAAATTAGATTATATAAAGGAATTAATTGATATAATAATAGTAAAAGATGAAAAACTTATTCATGGTAAACATGAAGAAAGCAATGAAAAAGGATTGTTTCTCGAAATTGTACAATTTCTTAAAAAATATTATGACCTTACATTTAAGACATAATTGGAATCGGCCTCAATAACTGCACTTATATTAGCAACTGCCTATATTTAAAATAATAAAAAAAAGAGGTTAGTCTTTTTATATTTTATATTTTATACCAATTTGTGGGTCTTACTTTGTCTGCTTAAACAGTTTATGCATTTTTAAAAAAAAACCACAGATATGTAATATTGGCATAATTACTGTAATTTATATTATTTATCTTTTGTTTATCTTTATAAGAAAACACCGTATAATGGGTTTTATTATTTCAGCATTTAATTAAATTTTTATCGACAGACCTGAAGATGCATATTGTAGAAAGCGAAACCGGTAGTCTAGATAGTTCAATTAAACTGATTGTGAGTAAGTCATGTTTATTATTTCTTTTACCTATTTTAAATGGACTCACACAAGCAACACATTCATGATTTTTGTAAATATTATAACTTTAGTAAGATAATGATATAAACCGGCTTTTTTTTTTTTTTTATTTAAATTAACGTGCATGTGACATCTATGGTCATTAGCACGAGTTACGATTTACATGGTAATATAATATAAATTACAAAATAAAATGTAGTTAACATCTAACATACAGAGAAAATAATAAAAACTTGTAATATAACATTTATATTTTGTTGAGCAGTTGACTATTCTCGAGGAATTTGATGACCTTGTTGATTTCGTCTGTGTTGTTTAGGACCTCTTTGAAGTTAGTACTGATATTGAGCTGTTGGCGTATTTTGGCATATAAAGGGCATTCGATAAGTATATGCCTGATTCGGAGAGTCGTATTGCAGTGTTGACATTTTGGTTGTGGAGATGATGTCATCAGGTAGCCATGAGTTAGACGGGTATGTCCAATACGCAGTCTCCGTATGATTGCCATATTTTTTCGAGATAAACTGGGATAGGTAAGACGGTTCACTGTAGGTTTGATTTCATGCAGCGCTGAGGTAAC